AAAAGAGAGAGAAAGAAAGAAGGAAAGAGAGAGAGAACGAATGAACAAAAAAGAGAGAGAGAATGAATGAAAGAAAGAGAGAACGAACGAAAGAGAGAACGAACGAAAGAGAGAACGAAAGGACGAACGAGAGAGAGAGAGAGAACGAAAGGACGAACGAGAGAGAGAGAGAGAACGAAAGGACGAACGAGAGAGAGAGAACGAATGAAAGAGAGAGAGAGGACGAACGAGAACGAACGAGAGAGAGAGAGAGAAAGAACGAAAGAGAGAAAGTTACTCCATAATTACCTTGTTATCGTCCAGAGCTGTGCGTTTGCTCCAGTGCTGAGACGGCGTGCAGACAAACGTCACATCGTCATGACCCGGGACGCAGTTCTCCTCCCACCAGTCCAGCTCCATCACGTTCTCACAGCCCATTTTCATCAGCCAGTCCATCAGACCCAGGGGCACGAACCTACAACACACAAGAGTGAATTGCAAATACATAAGAAATGAATGTAAGAGAGTGACCTCCCACTGATGGATCCCTCCTACCAGCGTAGCTCCCCCCCGAAGCGAGCGTTGAGGCTGGCCACAGATCCAGCATCCAGGTGGTCGTAATGAGAGTGACTGATGACAACAGCATCGATCCTGGGCAGCTGAGGACAAGAGGGAACAGGGTCAAATAAAAATAACATGTCCTGGAAATTGTCCATGTTTTATTGTATTTTAGCCGCTGTCATAACTGGCCTATGTAAACATCAGTGTGTTTGTAACTATACTCCGCTAGTGGTGGATTTCTTACATTTTCAAATTGTACAAACAGAGGTAGAACATTTTTTTGATCAAAGTTGAATTTCATAAGAGAGAAAATGGAGGTTCCGAACCTGTTCTACAGTGCAGGGAGGCCCTCGGTACCTTTTGGGCCCCATGAACTGGAAAGGCGAGGCCCTCTGGCTGAAGATGGGGTCTGTCAGGATGTTCAGTCCGTCCATTTCCACCAGAACCGTGGCGTGACCCAGCCAGGTGACTCTCAGACCTGGACCGGAGTCGGAGAGGTCTGGGTTCTGGACAAAGTACGGCTCCATCACCGGGAGCTCGCTGTCCAGAGCCTGGAGGAGTGAAACCACAGAGAGAGATCACATCAGGGAGGCTGGAATAAAACAACCACGTTCTTATCAGGAGGATTGGAGCCTCAGTCTTATGACTTTAATCATTCTTTAAAAAAAATAAAAAATCAACCATGATCCTCTTACCCTAAAAAGAAAGTGACTGTTTTCAGTGTATCTGACTCTATGAACAAGTTTAAACGTTACATTTATTCAGCATCTGGAGGACAGTGTTTGATTTCTCTGTGTAGTGTGTACACAGCTCCACCCCCACACTGCCGGTTTCACACAATAACAGAAAAAACACTGATAACTCTGTGGATAAGGGGTTGAACAGGTTTCTATTGCTGAGTGAAAGCAGCCTTTGAAGCCTGTTAAGCCCCGACTGAGCTCAGCAAGGTTTCCACTGTGTGGGATGTGAGAGTCGACAAACCGCACCGAAGAGAGGAACATTCAGCTCCTGATACTAATCACTACACGAATAAAACAAGTACAATCTTAGTCAGGTTTTAACAAATGTGATGCACAACTTTTAGATTGAATAAATTAAATCGAGCTAACTCAACTGGCAGTTTAAATATCAACATATTTTGCCTACAACGAGGAGGCTATGTTATTGTTCTGTAGTTAGCAGGATTACACAGAAACTACTGGGACAAATGTCGATGGGAGGATGAGACGGGGAAGAATCAATTAATTTTTCACTACCAGAACATTTTTTTGTTGATGTCTCAAATAATAAAGTGTCTATTAGTCATATTTTGGAGGTTGCATTGAGTAATGTGTATATTTTGGTGCAGATCTAAATAGAAATCCTTGTGACTTTAAATGTGGCTTCATAAGGAGACTGTTGGGCCTGGGCAGAGGTAAGTGCACCGTTGAACTATATTATAACAAAATATTCCTATTTTTAGACTGATGACGATGAAACCCTATTGAGACTTCAATAACTCACATTATGTACAAAGCATTAGTCTAATATTTACCCACCTCTTTATTAGTTGGTACATTGCTGTGATTTTTATCTAACAACAAGAACCTGAGCAGCATCGAGTAGGAAGGGAACCGCCATGTGGACCAGGGGTTCATCCAGCGGCCATGTTTGTCTTGACAGGACTTTGTCACGTCCTCCTGCAATCAAAGTAAAGAATGGCATTTTGGATAAAACGATAATATCCAATATATAATACAGGGGAGGTGCCTTGATGAGGGAGGGATAATATGGAAGTGAAGAGGTTTGAGGTGGAAGAGCCGGTTGGGATGATGGGAAATGTGGTTTTACCTCCAGCCGATAGTCCAGACGGAAGCTCTTGCGGGAGGATCGGGAGGAGCTGCTCTTCCTTGGGGTCTGAGGATCCACATCTCCACCCTCAGCACCTCTCAGCACTTCACCGTCCTGGAGTAGAGGCACAAACAACAGGCGATGATTCAACTCACAACTTGGAAATTGGCAGCTTTAAGCACATTCTCTGTTCTCCACTGAATATTTCTTCTAGTGGACTAGTTATAATAAACTACACCACAGCTTGATATCATCTCACTTTAGGTTAATGAGTAGGATCCCTCACCTCCACCAGGCCTGTTCTCTCCTCCAGCGCTGCTTTGCCTGAAGATGATGGCTTCTCCATGGGCAAACCAGCACAGCTAGAACCAACACACACAAACATGTAACATTAACAACACACCTCTGCTGTTGTACAGTGTGCACAATCACACATTTCAGCTGCTTTCAACTGAGAGCAGACAGGGCTCAGTTGTCTTGCTTTAAAGTTAATCCAGAAGCTGCTGAGGACGGAGGGCGTCACACATGCACACACTGATTCTGCGATGATTGCAGCACATTGAATAACTGACAGTTGAACCCTAATAGTTTGCATATGAAACAGTGAGAAAGTTATCAGACACACAGCAGGTTCAACGTAACTGTATTCAAATCAAACTACTATCAGAACTTCAAACCTGACACACACACACACACACGTTACTTTATCTCTTGAAGCTCGGGTAAGTAACCCTGGAAAAGCAAGAGCAGGCTACACATCTCATCAAAAAACGTGCACTGCCTGACAACTGCTAGATGTAGACTCTTCCGTGACTCGCTCTCTAACTTGTGGTTATTGTCTCTGGCTGAAGATTCATCATTTCATTCGGCCGTGTTTATTACACAGACACCAGCTTTTTACCCCCAGATGTCTTTATCTGTTGGTGGCAATTGGGGCATGAAGAGAATTTCATGAAATAAGATAAAAAAGTGTTTCAGAAAGGACTCATCAACTCTAAGTAAAACATATTGTTGGCAGAAAAGACACGAGTTGCCTTGAGACACAAACAGTACTGTTGTTACTCTTATGTAACACTGATCAGGAAGTAACTGGAAAAAAGAAATGATGATTGTATCGCTTGACTAGAAAAGTCAACATTTATAATTCTACCAAATTGTTAAGGACTATAAGCAAGCACACATCTGTTTCATCAATTTCTAAATTCACCGTGCTCATTAACACATGTCGTCACATCATAACAGTCCCGGTGCAACAGCTGAAACGGCTCTGACTAGATCCCTCTTAGACAGTAGCCACCTCACAAATAGTGGTGAAACATAAAACTGAGTGAAGTCCGACACAGCAGGAATTACACTGAGTCCTGAACTGAATGTGTGACTAAAGGGAAGGATCCTTGTTCACAAGTTTTAAAAAGTGGGAGTGAATCCGACCTTTTAGTTTCAGGGAGTAGGAGAAGACAGATCCACATGTGCCAGACACACAAACCAGAGCCAACAAATCTGATCACCGCCCTTCCTTATCCTGCCATGATCCTCAGCAATCGCAGTGCAGCACACACCCTATTTAACTATTACACATTCATAAATCAGACTTGAATCGATCAGAGGGTTATGATGGTATTTCCATATCAAAATGTCTGACGACTCGATGTAAACACCAGCGCATCAACACAGTAATGCAACGTAAGCCGGCTGTGCACTCTGCCTCTGTGTGGAAACTCCGACTATCACAGCTGTGGCGTCCTGATGATGCTCTCGGCCTCATGAATGGACTTTAACCGCATTCTACACAACAATGGAGCTCTGAGGACGACATCCAAAACAAAGACCTGTGTGGCCAGTCAGCGAGTCTGATGATGATGTGGTCAAACAACAAAACATAATCACAAACACTATTCTCATCAATGCAGTTAAATTCAATTCTAACTTCAAATTGGTAAACAAATTGAAAAGATATCACTGTTATAAGGGCCGATAATTATCAAAATATAATTTCTACAAGAGTAAAAAAATAAAAGTTCAATATAACAAAATATTGATTATGCAATAGTTTGTCATTGTTTGGTTATAGAGGTGTTTTTTTAAACCCCAAGTATCACATTTATTGTGATAATTATCTATATTTACTGACATCTGATATAAGGTGTATGTCAAGTGCATATTCGCTGTACTTTTATTACATTTTATTTACTTCTGTTTCATTACCCATGTTATTCTATTTGTATACTTTCACATGTTTCCTTGTCTACCTCAATCTGCAGCTGTAACAATTGACTTTCCCCAGTGAAGGATCAATAAAGTTTTTCTCATCTTATCTTACAACATCTTATATTATTTCATTTTTTTAAATATTGTCCAGCTCTTAATCAGATAAAAACATTCATCCAGTCATGAAAACAGTTCAAAGTGAGCAAGCGAATACAAACATCATGTTGCTGGTATTAGGGCTGGGCAATAAAACAATAATCATTTTCACCAGAGCAAAAATCGGTCTTTAAACTTAGATATTTAAATATGACATTTTCGTTATGATTCTACCTTTGGGGCCTTGTTGTCCAGCCACATAATCTCAGATAATCACATTGATCTAGTCCTGACAACAGCTTGTAGTGAGCTAACACATACAAATGACATTACTGTTATCATGACAGTATCACACACACAAGTCTGTACATGAATTAGAATCAGTGACTCACAAAAAAACTACAGATGATTCCCTGCCATCGACACAGACACCAGCAATGATGCCAGATAACCTGGCGACAAACACAGGTTGTATTTTTAACTTTCACCACAAACAAGGACATGTTCTCCTGCAGCAGCACAGTCACACACAAACAAGGGAAACAGCAGCAGAAGCACGAAGCCCTGAGGTCAGAAGACGCTTCACGTCAACTCACCTGAACACTTGAACGCAACAGATCAGCAGCGCTTGTGTTCTCAACAGGGAGACATGTTGGGCTCATTCACGGCTGGTTTAACACGAGCTGAGCAACACACGCGGGTGTTTCCCCGCAGGTCACATCACCGTCACGCAGCCGTGCGGCGGAGGTCGAGCGGAGGGTTGAATTCAGCGGCAGGTTGGACGTGTTTTAAAAAAGAGACTGAGACAGAGAGAGAGAGAGGGAAAGAGAGAGAGAGAGGGGGAGAGAGAGAGAGAGGAATCCTGCTGCAGGACCAGCTCTGTGACGTCACTGGCTTAAGTCCCTCTCATCACGTGACACCCCCCCCCCACACACACACACACACACACACACAAACTCACTTAATAAATAAATAAAAACTATCACAAATCGTCACGACGCAGGGAAGAGACATGTTTCATCCATATACAGTCTATGGTTTCATCCAAACTAACGTTTTTGTTCAAATTGAAAATAAAATAAATACATAGCATCTGTTGATTTTTTAATTGGGAACCACTGCCAGCTGAAATTAATATTATAGTGACCGATATCATCACGTTATCAATATTATCGAGCTGTCGTTGAAATGTAAAAATACAGACACACACAAGCTGAGGTCTGATTCTGAAAATCTTTGAAAATCCTTCAAAGTGAAATATTTCGTTTCAATCAAGTGTGGATATTTTATCTGACTTAATATTTCTATATTCCAACAATTATTCATTCTTAATACTTGTATTTACACTGTATTGTGTTTGAACACTATTGTTAACGTTTATTTTGACTTATTAGTTGTTTCATGTTTAATTAGACAGATGTTTAAATATAAGTTTAGCTACTTGTAGTGAAAACTAAAAGTGACGCCTTGTTGCTAATATTTAAATGAGCTAAATGTCATATTTAACTTCTTTCAGTGAAAATTAAGTTCAATATTCAAACGTGTTGCTAATTAGGACGCTCTTGTGACGCAGCTACGTTACATTTCATTTGTTGAACTAATAAATATCAGAGAAGCTAACTGAGTTTAACTCACACGAACCTTCTGTTGCGCTGCTCGGCTCCTGTGGTTGTGTGTTTTTGTTTTGCACCATTTGTACTATCGAAAACACGCGAAGCGAACAGACGAGAACACAAAGTGTCTGAGGAACAGACAGAGAACAGCCGAAGTGAGCTAAAGTGAGCTAAAGTTAGCTGAAGAGCGGAGCGAGTGCGACGCGTCGCGCAGCTGTACCTGTTGATGAGGAACACCTGCGGGCAGCTGAACGGAAGCAGACGGACTCTCCTCAGTCTCTCCGAGTATTCACGACACTTCCTCCACAGTAACACACGCAGCGAGCCGCAAAACAGCGTTTCCATCCCGCAGCTTCGTCTTCAGACATGTCAACTGCAAAACTTTTCATCGACTCAAGCCACAGGTGCCGACGTCATCAGTGTGGGACAGCGACGGAACCCGCTTCCCCGCTCGAGCTGTTTCCCCCTGCAGCGCCCCCTCTCGGTGCTAGTGTTTACACTCGGGGGGGAAACTTATACTTTAAAGTTTACGTCAACCCTTTACATGATTCTACATATTTATAGATATTTGATTTGACGTCATCTTCCTCTTTTAATCCAGATGATTGTTTGACTTTTCTAAAGTTTATGGTGAAACTTGCTTGCTGTTTCAACATGTCCTCTTACTAATACACAGATACAGAATCTACTCATTATCTCCCCCTCTAGTGAAAGGTTTCTCTTTTTGTATTCTATTTTAATTTTCTTGTCTATCTCATTGTGACTATCTGCTGCTGCAAGTGAACCTCCTTAGTGTGGGATCACTAAAAATGAATCTTCTCTTATCTAAACATTGATTCCCCCAGACATTATAGTCTTACCCTCTCCATCAACTCACCATGCTAAACTCCACTGGTTAAGCCGGCTGTAAACATTTCAATGTATTGGTTCATAGTCCTAAGCACTCTTTAATAACATGCATTATTGTGTTTACTTAAATCACTTCACCTCTTCATTCCAGTATTTAAGAACAAAAATACAGTCACTGCAGCAGCTGATGTGTTATGAAACCCAAAGCTCCTTTCATACTGACCTAGTTATACAGTACAGGGTAGTGTGGACTGTTGGCATGGATCCTTCTAAGTAACCATAGACAGGATAAGGGCTAAGAAGCAGAACAAATTCTGCCATTTAAGGTTTTTATCCTGTTTTGCTGGTAGAGAACAGCATGAAAACACCTGATTTAACTGATCTTACAATGTGAACAAATATAGATTACAGTCCACAACTCCCATGAGCCTCAGCCTGCATAGAGCAACAGAAGAAATGTACACAAGCAATACTGTAAACATACTTACTTTACATAGAAAAATGACAGTTCAGTAAAAAAAAAAAAAAAAAAATATTCACACTGAATACCAAAGGGGTGTTCGCTGTCAAGAATAAGCCTTGTTTCAAAACAGAAGAGTTTTGGCAAATAATCATGAACGAATCAGAAAATGTCAGAATTTTTAACAGCTCCTTTTAGCACAACACAATTCAAAACAATGCATCAATTCTATAAAATTACAGAGGAAACCAGGAGCCCTGCTGAATGTCATTCATGTTCACACTTGTCCCTTTTTCAGTGCTCCTTGTGGTCTCCATCCTCCTCCAGCTTCCTGATCTCCGCCTTCAGGTGGTTGATGTTTTCTCTGCTGGCTTTTAATTTGTCTTTCAGCTCTGCGATCTCCTGACTGGTTCGTTTCTTCGCCGTCTCCATCTTCTCCTTGGTCTTCTGCTCCAGCTCACTGACTGCAGACACAGGCGAGCAAACCCAAATAAGCATGATGGCAGTGTCAATGTTGTCCTTCAGCACAGAGGCACATACTAGATTTCACAGATATCAAAGCTGGAGAGAATGTGAAAACTAAGTTGGTACATTCACACTTGTGTCTCGTGTTTCTATGCTCAGTGTGTGCATGTGTGTGCGTGTACATACACTCTGTCTCGTGCTTGTATGCCCCCAGTGTGAGTTGTCTTGATGTGGTCAGGAGCTGCTGCATCATGGCTGTGGGATCCTGGAAGATCTGGGGGGGGGGGGACCCATCAGGTATAAATCTTTCAAGGATACATTTTTAAAGCCATTTACCTTAAGGGGAGAGTAAATACTAGTATTTTTCAGAGTAAAACAACATCACAGTTAGTACAGGACAATAACTGTGGTCATAAATAAGCTGCAGCATGAAAGCAGTTGTACCATTTCATCATAAAATTCAGAGACAACCGTCTTCTTGGGCATGGCACTGGAGTCTGACTGGAACAGCTTCAATAGATGGTACAGAGTCACCTAACACACACATAAACAAACACAAACATCCAAAATAAGAAATACAGGGAAGAAAAAGTTATATTGCATTATTTTTTACTAAATACAGATTATTTCCATATGTTGTTTAATTAGTGTTCAAGTATAATTACAGCTAATCTTGGCTCGATATCATTTCAGGTAGTTGCCTTCCCTTTCTTTAAGCTGCCATACAATAAAGTAACAAGCAGCAACAGTATGCAGATCAGGATATAGGAGTTATATCTTAATTTAGTGGGACTACTAATGGCGGCTCTTACAGATCTCTCATTGGGGTCGATGAAGAAGATCTTGATGATGATCTCGAACTCGCCCCAGCCCGTCTCTGTGATCTCATATGGAGGCTTCGTCACCACTGGAAGGCAGAAAAAACCCAGCATATTACACAGGTCGCAGGTGAAAACATCAACGTACCTGCAATCTACGATTATGATGCGTTTCCATTCATGTGTCCTGCCCTGACTCACCTCTCAGTGGGTTACCATAGCTCTCATGCAGCTTGAACTGGATCTTCTTCACATAAGCCGACATATCCTGGAAGAACAATGTGATAGACAGTTGGACTATTTGTGTCAGAATGTCTTTGACTCGTTGTCTTGAGATAGATTTCTACATGTGTACACAGGATGCATATAACCCTGCTCCTCTTAATACATCCAACAGATCATCGTTGAATGATAGCTACAGGATCAATTATCCAGAGGTTTTGGTTGATGTAGAAAACTACAGCACTTCCTGAAGGGGGTGCAAATACAACACAAAGTGTCAAGATCCTGAAAAAGCCGCTGGACATTACACCAATATAATACCTATTTGGTTCAGAAGTGGACAAGAAACTAGACCCTGTGTCTCTGAAAGAGATTAGTGTAATAACATATATCCTGGCAAACACCCCGAAATGTAATCTTTTCAGACTACACCCTAAAATATAAAGGGGAGAACATGTGAACCCTCACGGGTCACTGAAATGTGCTTTGACTCCACGCAGGAAAGTTCTGTATAATGACCATGATCGTGTATTTCAGTGTTTAGTTTATGTTTTGCTGTGTGATAGAAAACACGAGCAGCAGTATTTGATCAACCTGGTAGAAGCCTCACCTCGTTCCTGTAGGGCTTCACGTACACAGACCACTGGTGCGTGTGTCCATCCTCCTCCCTCTTCTTCCCGAAGTAGCGGGCGACGTTTCCCAACACGATGGGTTTCACGATCGTCACTCCCTGTGGAACACAAACAGTTCAACAGTCACGTGTTGTGTGCCAGTCAGTCGACATGTTTCTTAATTCAACTGTTTCAGAGAATCATACAGAATTCATCTTTACGTCTCCGGCTCCATTACCTTCACTCTCCCCCCGGAATCTGGACCAAATTCACTCATCTTTTTGAACATAGTACAGAGAAGAGCAACGGATCCTGTAGCTCACTCTATAGAGTTCTTCTGGACAAACAGCGCGAGTCCGCTTTCAACAATTCTGCCATTTAAACACCAAAACACACAATCTCGATTCAAAGAGCCAGTCCAACAAGAGCCGGAAGTCACTGGAGTAACGCTTTCAGTTCTCCGATAGGGATGTGGCATCCGTAAGGTTCCGGACAATGACGCCGAATAACTAGAAATGTGTTGATATTTAATAGATAATTATCACTTGGATCATTTGCTAGTTTGATCACACAAGAGGATTTAAATATATTTTTTATGACCACAGTCTCTTTTCAAATTGCCAGAAGCAGGCGCCGGAGTCACGAGAGTAACGTGTTTAGTTGTCCGATAGGAGTGTGAAACAGATCCAAAGGTTCCGGACTCGTGTACTGAATTTTAATTTTGGGGGTTTTGACAAACAGCCAATGTGACATTACATACATTTAAAATGTTTTAATAAACTCTCCATGTTACTGTCATTTCAAAGCACTAAGGTATTGAGTATATTTAGTTTGTCTTACTCACAACTTTCTAACTAAAGTTAATTGTTACCAGAAAACGAAATGTCAGAATTTCTTGTTCCATATTTCTCCAGCTCAGGTAATAATAAACATATGGTCAAAAATTATAATCTCTTATCTTACTGCTTAACATAGTTCAACATTAACCGTCCACAGTTTAGACAAATTAAATGATAGCTGCAGAAAGAAAAGCAACAAAAAACAAATTGTATTAAAAACTTTTATTTTTGAGGGCAACAACCATTATTTCAGCTGAGTCTGTCCCTAGATACCAGGGAGTGTTTCACTTAGAACTTTACTGACAGCTGCACAGGATAACACTTCCCTATGGAAATGATCTTAAACTGACACCACCAATATAAAACCAAGATATACTCACTCACATACTGAGGGCAGTCCTTACATGGTTGCTTGGAGTCATGTGGCCCTGAGAATTAACCCTGTTAATGGGGAAATCTACATCTGTTATCTATGCTGATCAATTATCACATTCAGTCAAAAATCTGAACTGCACAAGACAAATCAAGTTTGTTTTTCCCCATGTTCCTTCAGACTGAGTTTGAGTCTCAGACACACTTGGCTGCAGTTCTAAAATACTTGGTTTACTCCAGAGTGAAAAAGTAGTTGCAGGTTTTTAAATGTTACTTCTCTATTGAAAACATCTTACTTTGACTTTCAAGTGAATTACTGGAAAACAAATAAAAAAATAAAACGCACAACAAGATACTTTCCAACATCTTGTGTGAGGAAGTGCTGTTGCTCTGGCTTGATGCCATTTCTTCTTCTGCAGTTCACGTCAACCTGAAAACACTTACCTTCAGGGCTGTGGAGAGAAGTCACTACAAGTCTGTATTACTTCTACTGAAAGCCAGGTCATTTTAAATCAGGCTGATTAGATGGAGCCATGTTGGGAGTTTAAGTAATTAACTTAAGCATCATGCACCTACAGGTGCAATGGAAGAGGAAAGGAACATACATGAAAAATCTCTAGAGAAACAAAAAGCTCCGTTCAGCCAAAACAATCAAAACCAGGGACGTGAAGAAGCTTTGACTTTACATTTTTAGGACTTGTTCAAGACAAATGGCATCGAGATATTTTCCTTCACATCCAAATTTCCCACATACTTTTTTGTATCAAAACTATTAAACCCCCTGAAGTTTATTACACAAACACATTTCAGGAGAATCATGAGGGTTTGTGAAGAGTGTTACAAACACAGTGACTCTTTTCCGTTAAAGTTCAGACTATGATTCAGATTGATTCCTTTGGTCATTACAGTGATTACATGGAGTTTCAAGTCCAGTTTTTTTTATACACCTATGGAAATTAGGTATTTTACGGGATTGTCCCTGAGATTTGAACCCACATCATGGACAAGAAAAACATTCAACAAAACAAGGTCCAACAAGACAAACAGTAGGAAATAAATAAGTCTACATTTCAAACAATAGTGAGGCATGGTGAAGAAACTTAACATATGTTGTGTTTGCCCCGTTATTAATATCAGGGTTGGTGAGTTTCTTAAATGAAACAAGACAAAATATGGCAGCTTTCGATTAAACATTATTGCTGTGAACCTTGACATTTATATTTACTCAAATTCAAACTTCTCTGGGAAAAGATTTAGGGTCAAATATAAATTCGATCTGAGACAAAAAAATATTTCGAGCATTACACACTAACTCAGGGTCAGTGCTAACAATGAGCCTGTTAAAACAAAAAAGGTTGAATAAATGTATTTCATTACAAAATATGACATTTGTAGTTTTAATTCCATTTAAATAGAACGCTTTACTGAATTTGTACCTTATGTACGGGTGTTAAAACACGAACATACAAAAACATGTTACATGTGGAACATGGGAGCAAAAAGTCACACTTACTTCAAATTGCAATTTTTCCATAAATGGGATTCACTGACCAATTCCATTTAAGCCGCAACTTTGGTTGCTTAAGTTCAAGAATTCACATTCACAAAACAAAAAAACAATTTGGTTTGGAAATATAATAAAAATAATGGTAATATAAATTGCTATTGTGATGGTGGCTGTTGAGCTCAGATACACATGAATCAAACATCAGAAACCACTTGAACCACTGACCATTGTGGGTTTGTGATGTGTGTGTTCCACACGTGTCCAAAAATGTGCACGTACATGTCGACCTTCAATTTGTTCACGTTTGTAATGAAAATCAATCCATCAGAGCACATAGTGCATTCTAATCTTTCCTACCTAGTAAAACTTAAGAAAAACAAAAAAGTCTAACGTGTATACTTAATAACATGTATAATCAAAAAGTGGACCAATTCAATATGAAAAACATTCTGCACTCCAAAATATACATTTAATATAAACGAGCCAAACATGTAGAGGAATTCAACAAATGCAGAGTGTACCTCAGTAAACATTTTTTATTACAACACCATCTAGTTTTTAATCAAAAGCAGAGACATTTACAAACATACTAACCATGAAAAGAATAAATGAGAATGAGAGGAAGAGGTGGGGCAGAAAACATCAAACATGTACCCTATAAAGACTGATCTCTAAACTGAATGTACACAGTACAGCGAGCCACCGAAAATAAAAAGCAAATAGGATGTAATGTTTGTGTCTTCTATTTAGGGGGCGTGCGGCCATTTTATTTTTTCATTGCAAAAAAAAAAAAAAAAAAAAAAAAAAAAAAAGCATCACACATACTTGTCTTCATGTCAAATAAAACATCATAAAAATAAAAGAGCTGTTTGGAAAGTTTCTTTTCTTTTTATCTTTAGTTACCATGAGTATAGGTGTTTGGATAACATAGCCTTACACAGGTATGGGTCTTCCATCCACTGCTCTGAGTCAGGCAGACAAGATGAACAGACAGAGAGAAGGATGGGTGGAGAAGGAGAGGAGAAGAGAGATGGAGGGGTGGAGGAAGAGGTGGTGGTTGTAATCCTGTCCGGTCATGCAGGGTGGGGACGTGGTGGTGGTGCACTGAAAGCGTTCCTCCTTTTCCTTCCATCCATCCTTGATCCTTGTGAGCTGAAAGGTGTCAAAACGAAGGGTGGAGTTTGGTTTCGAGGCAGCCCAACAGTGAACACTCCCCTCCCCCCCCCCCACCAGTAAACCTCTACACTACACATACAAAGTGCACAGCAGGGCTGGGTTCAATTCACCATCACCATGAGTCAGAGCTGTTCATCCACTGAGTCAACATTTTGGAAGAAAAACACAAAACTGAACATTTCAATATCAAACGTTTTTTTTCTTCTTCTTCTTTTTTTTTTAAACATTAACACTTCTGTTAAACGTCTCTGTTGACTGTGTATTGCTCCCAACCCTCGCACAGACACAGAAAAACATCATGCAAACTGGAACAGGACATATCCAGTAATCAGGTGAAATCTATCAGACTGTACACAACAAAAACTGCAGTTCATCACAAGTACTGAGAAGTAGAACTGTTATTTCAGAACATATATACGAGATAAAAAATGTCTATTGATCAAACTGGAGACAGCCAATGGAATCTATATTTAAAACTCAACTTAACTTTGACATTGTTACAGAACTGTCTCCATATTGCATCACGTACTACTACACTGTGATAGTGTGCTTTGTTTATTGTATTTATTCATATTTGACCAGAGAGTGAAACTTACATCTCTACACACTGTTTTTTTATCTAATCAATGATAAGACAGTGACCACTGATAGATCATCACTTCTCAATTCTCTAAAGGACTCGCTGCCTCCGCTCGACTATGAAACCAACATTTATAAACTAAGTCTTGTACTTTAATACTGTGTGTGACTATGAATGTTGGTTTTCCTGTGGCTTTTACTTTTTTTTAAATAATTACTAATTATAACAGTGGATGTGGCATGATTTGGCGTGAAACCAGTTTTAGGTCTCTATGCATAACAGAAAAAAACAGAAGTAGCTAGCATCAGACTGTATGTCACTATATGTGACTGCCAAAAGCATCTCTGGGCTTTTACATTTAACAGAAAAGAATAATCTAAATGTCAGTAAACCTCTGAGTGAGATATACAAAGAACTAGGAATGCATCCTCTTCATCATGATTATAAAAGGCAGCTGCAAAGCTTTCTTAGACCCTTTTTGACCCGGTGTTAACACCCGTCCTGAATGATGTGATCACAAGTGGTCAAAGCTAAGTACAGGTCTGAACGCACCCAAATACCCAAGTTCCAATCACCCAAACCAGATTGGGAGGTAGTCTGGACGCATGCTGCTGTGAGAATGCAAATGTGTCCTAGGCCAAAGGACAGCCTCCTCAGCTGACATACGTTTAAACATAGTTTTGCTTCTCAGTGTCATGATTTGTTTGTGGCCACCACCATCATATTAACACCGCAACATAATGGTTGAATGATTTTTCTTAGATAAGAATATTTATTTTCTACATTTTGACAAGTCTGGATTTTGACTTAATTCTCAACCTATAAGAGCTGCTTTCAAAATTTCAAACAAAAAAGGCTTAAGTCCATTATTTGATTAAAACCTCTGTAGCATGGCAACATGTTTCTTCATAGCAACATACAATCATTCTTTCAGTCACACCTGACTCCTCTCACTTGCTCCAAAACAGACACACATTTACACAAACACAGGAGACACACTCAGGACACTTATACAGCTGTCAGCTTGTGATCAGATCTCTCAGGACGGATGTTCATATCAGACCTGAACAGAGCCTCAGACTATCAATAACGATCTAATTACATTTCTGTCCATGTATTGAATGTTTAATTTTCTAAAAACAATTCTGATACAGAAAAGTTTATTTAAATTAGTCAAAGATTTAAATGCATATTTGAATGTTTTTTGCTGTAGAGGGGTTTTGTTGTACATGGTACATAGTTACAGACAAAATAACAGTTTGGCCAACAACACCAAATTTTTGACAAGATACAGCAGTCAAACTAAATGGCACTTTGTGTCAAAACATTATTAAAAACTAGAACATCCAGTACAAGTGGAAACGGGAATCATTGAAGTTTTGTCAATGGTCAAATTACATCCAAATATCAGACCAACAAATATGTTTTTATTATAATAAAATGCCATATTGTGGAACCATGGTTCAGTGTATTCTAGATCCTAGACACATTAACATGTGTTAATGATAACACAGCACAGAACTGAAACAGGAGTCAAACCAGGGTCAAGCAATTCACCAAACAGTCTGACATTCAATACTTACCATCAGAAAATTCACATTCTACAGATATAAACGGGGCTATAAGGAGTTTTTCACTGTTGGTATTAACTGATAATTATCATATCTTCAGAAAAGCTCTTGGTATTCAAGATAACAGGTTAATAATAAAGAAGATGTAGAAGGTGTTGAATTTTTACTCCTGTTATTCCACTTACCAGTATAACTACATCTGACAAATACACTGCTAATCTATTGACCAAGATAACCTGGGCATTAAACATGATCAAAGTCTTACAATTGTCTACTTTTAGTCCTGGAACTAAGGCCTTCTCTATGAGTCAGATATGTCACTGTACCTTCCACCACTGTTTGACCCTGGTTTGACATGAAAGGACTGATCTCCTGCACACACCAGAAAGTCATATCGGCTCGGTACAAACAGTGAGCATTCCCCCATGACAATATGAACAGATATAACAGTGCTGTGCATCAGCGGACACAATAAATAGCCACACTACTGTCAGGAACAGAAGCTGATCAACATGCTGTGAAATATCAGACTGAATGCAAAGGAAATGTTCAAATGGAAAATGGACATATTTAGCCTCATTACATACTGAATACCCTTCAAGTCCTTATGATTATTCTCATTTCACACCGACAGATACAGTTGTCAATATACCGTTATCTTCACATTCTTGGGAAACATCAGGCCTTGTGCCCACTGGGGATCTCTCATCTAACAGAGATACTGAGACACTACAAAGGTCACTGGTGAAACACTGGTGTTGAAAATGTACAAGTGATTTGCTATATGCTATATATAGCCATAAAAATATCTACTTTCTAATTTAACAAATAGAGAATGTTCCGTTTTTGTTGAGAGGTTCCCAGTGGACACAAGTTTTCCTTTTGAGCCAAACCATGTGTAGATAAAGGACAATTGAGTAGAACAGAGGTCAGATTCACTAAACCTGCGCTGACAGCTAAAAACAATAAGGGCCCTATAATAGATCATATGACAGATAACCCAGACAATCACTAATGCCAAGTTCACACTGCACGACTTTCAGGAGAAACCCTGTCTCGTTGGCTGAAAGTCATGTAGTGGGAACTCGGCTTAAGTTACAATCTTTGGTAGCTCTGTGGGTTTGGCCTGCTATTAAATTGAGCAACTCCACAGGCAAAACTACCCCAGTTAATATTTCTCAGAATAAGAGGGACGGAAAAGCTCATATGTAAATAATGTGTCTAATGTACAGAGCATATTTCTAGCTATTTCTGTCTTTTCAAATTATGGGAAATATTATTTGGGGTGATGTATAACTACACAGAGAGGCCAAAGGTCCCATGTAACCTATCTGCTCTATAAGGACTGATTGACACAACACACATCTTAGGGCTTTGGCAGTAAAGGACATGGGAACGACACAACAGTTCAAAGCCGATATTTCCACTGCGGTTCCAAACGTAACAAAAGGTTTTCATGTTTTTCATCACACAAGTGATGCAATGGAAGAAAGCATCTTCCCACAAAGAATACAATATGATTCAAGAATCCGAAAATCCATGAAAACACCAGCAAGCCTCAGACAGCAAAACACATAAGTTGTGTACAAGCTAGTGACTGGTAGTTTTATATTAATCGACAACTCATCTAAAACATGACTTCACACCCAAACAGCCATCCATGATGCTATGAGCCAGAAATAACTGTATTATCTCATCTCAACACTGAAAACTCAACACTGCAGCCTACACAGAAATCATTTCAGTACAGGCGTCACATGAAAACAAAATATTAAAATGCAAATGTCTATGTGTCAGTCAATGACAAATAAGTAGCATACAATCGGGATTTTGATGTATGACATCAAGAATTGTTAGGCGATTTATTTTGCAGCATTCTCTCATTTACAAGATCTCAAAGATAAAATTATGATTCTCGATTCAGTCTTTTTCAATTTCTCAACTTCACCAATATCTGTTAGATACTGAAAATAATTATTCAGTGACTCAATTCTCATAAAAAAACAAATTACAATTTAAATTTAAAGCCACTGATCAATCCACAAGAATATCAACATTCTGTTTTTCCAGAAAATGACATCAAAAGGACAGAATATTACAGAATATTTTAACTTCCCCTCAATGTCTTAAATTGAGGTACAGGTAGTGAGAAACACGAGGCTACAAAACATTAAATTTGACACAAGTAAATGCCAGGAAATATTTGTCATGCAAATATGGAATAGTCACATTGTCAAAATTGGTTGTGTCCAAAAATCATCAGATATTGACACTGATCAATAAATTTCAATTTCTCTTCATGAAAACATGACAATAATTTATCCAACTTTTGAAATGAAATGGTGAAAATGTATACAACATTACTATGAATGCAACATTTACAAGGTGTCTCCTATAATCTGAACATTGTAATTTTTCTTTCTGAAAACAATCAAACGTGTACAGACCATAAAAACTGCTGAATCTGTAGACATCGGAAACTGACCAATCAGGCAAAACTATTCAAAGCACACTACTCTAAGAACCCTACACTTCGATAAGCTGCAAACTCGTATGTAATAGGGAGAGCTTCAGAAATTTGTCTTGATATTTAACCCAGAAAATATTAAACTTTTGATCCACTGGCCACAGCTGCTGGTAAAACCCAAATTCAGATTATTTCCACTTTTAAGGATCAAATCACACATTTAAATCTACAGAAGTGAGTCAGCCACATGTATAGTGCTCAACAGCATCAGGTTAGTGCTGCTCTATAGCATTTCACAGGCACCTTTATTTTATAATTCGTTTAGCTGAAAACACAAAGTGGATAGTGAATGAATTTTGTGATTTACCAGCCTCAGGGGCGTGCAGGCCAAAAACACAACGATTAATTCACAAAGTCAAATTCAAGCAACTGTCAGTGAATTCTCTGTTTTGGGATGGTGCTTTAAAAAACTCATACATACAACTCTTACAAAGCCCTTTGAGCAGAGTGAATACAACAAGCGTAATGTGACATGTTCTTTCAGTAAAAACTCATAAATGTGATTATCGATTATGAAACTTGAATGAAAGTGTGAAACTCACCTGATACTTACTTACTTTTCTCTTCTAGTACCCCGCCCTCGACGAAGTTCAGGGACATACATTTAGATTAACACTACTGTTGTTGTAGATTTTAGGGTTCAATAAATTTTAAAGCTCTATATTTTCAATCAGATATTAATGTATGACTTGAAAGGGATTAGACATGCTTAAAAGCCTCTTATTCTAGTTAGCCTGACTCCTTCCAGATCCATGAAAAATGTAGTGAGCATGAAAAAAAGAACAAAACTTATAACAGAAGGAAATCATTTATGTGGTACCAACCTTGTCTTGTCTAACGGTGTCGGTACTCCCTCTCCCTCTCTCTTTCCCTGTCTCTGTCCCGGTCCCTCTCGCGGTGGCGGTCCCTCTCCCGGCTGCGTTCTCGGTAATAGTCCTCATGCCTATCGCGGCTGCGGGACTTGTGGCGTCGACTCTTTTCTCTGGATCGGCTGTGGTCGCGTTCTCTGGAGCGCTCTCTTCTGGCAGAGAAGAAGATGAAGCATGAGACTGTACTTGTACATTTTTAATACTGCATCTTATGGTGGCAATTCCCTTGGGGGGAAAAAACTTAAGGTTGCAGTTGGCGCTACAGAAAACCAGCTGAAGAACAAATAGCAAAACAATATCATATGGAAGACAAAAAGTCTGGAGAACTTAAAAACTAGCTGACTTTTTGTTTTTCCTTGAAAAACTTGTGTTTTTTTTTTAGTGCAGCTCATGAACAACTTCAATGTCATATTTAATGGGACACTTAATAGCATATGAGACAAGTGTTACCTGGAGGCAGAGCCATAGCTCTTTGACTCGATTCCATGGAGACAGTCCTGCAGGGAACTGATGAGGACCTTACAGCGGTCGTCTGCTGACACTTTGGACTGTTTGATCAGACTGATTGCAGTCACCAACGTCTCTATAGCGCTGCCATAATCAGCTAAAAAGAAAACATGAGTTTGCATCAAATGTTATTTTATGTTAGGTTTCTTAATTGTATGTTTTATGTTGTGTACCATGTAGGTGCATCACTTTGTGTTACCTGCACTGGCGTCAGACACAGCCCTTGATATGGCGCTGGAGGAGATGGCTCTGTTTCTGTTCATTATCTCCTCGAACTCCGCTTCACTCAGGGGGGTCCGTGACGCCTCCATCTCCCTACAAAGACACAGACAAACGCACACTTGCGTCATGGCACTTTTTATGTAACCAATGTTAACTGGTTATGCCAAAAAATTCCTGAGAGAACATGAATATGAATTGCTGTGGAACTTATTTGTCCCACATCACCACCCATTCTTACCGGCCTCCAGGACCGTAGTCCCTCTCATAAGGTGGCGGGCGTCCGTATGGGTCGTTTGGTCCTGGGGGCCCTCGACTGTCGTTGGGGGGCATGTTGTTGTTGCCAGGTGGTGGGAAGAAGGCAGGGTTGACATGGGGGGCTGGTGGTGGTCCGCCCGGTGGGGGACCTGGCATGTGTGGAGGAGGAGCCAAAGCCATGGGCGGTCCAATAGGACCTGGGGGCCGAGGAGGGAAGGGTCCTGGAGGTGGTGGACCCTGTTGGGGGGGTGGGGGACCAGGAGGAGGGCCATAACCTGGAGGAGGGGGGCCTGGAGGTAAGGGTCCCATTGGTGGCTGGCCAAATTGACCAGGGAAGAGAACAGGAGGAGGCGGCCTGTCGCCACGATTTGGAGGACCAGCGAGGGGAGGGGGGAGGCCCTGTCCAGGTGGTGGAGGTCCTGGAGGGCCGGGGGGGCCAGGTGGACCAGGAGGTGGACGTGGGGGACCCTGCATCCCACCTACAAAAAAAAGAACACAGAATAATACAGAAGTTGGTGAAACTAAATCTTTATCTTTAGTTTGTGTTGCAGCAAGCAGAGCCCTCCTCAGCTTTTTTGAGTCTAAAGGGGAAATAAGTGTTTTGGTCAAAATCATGCAGATCTTTTCTACTCGAAAACTTCACTGATGTTTAAAACACATATAGGCCCATATGTATTTGTTGGGTCGAGCTTTTCATTTGATATCTTATATTAGCCTGTACTTTTTCTGTTTCCTTCTAACACAGGTATGTTTAGTTTTGATTGTTCAAAGCACAGACAATGACAGACAGATATGAGCAAGCCATAGCTACAGGGAACAACAAATGAAAAAACAATGTTAAAAACAAGAAGGCAACAGAAGAGATGAGGATAAACACTCAACGCAAATTGATTTCGAGCTGACTTTCTCCTTTCTTAATCCGAGGTCTTGCATTTAATGATGGTCTCATTTTCCTCAGAACAGCATTATCAGAATGTCAAGCTCACATTTAATAAACCATATAATATATTGCAGTTGGCAAACAGGGACGTCATCAAATTACATTTTAAGGTTTATTGGGGGATTTTACGGCTTTGACATTAGACACAATTTGCTGTAAATCTTTCGTGGAACTTGAGGAAGCAATTTTGTAAAAACTATTTTCATGATATCAAGCCAACTATACATCCTTACAGAGTAGAGAAGCATAAGATGGAAAGAAATACGATATGTACACACACTCATACCATGATATGATTTAGCAGGCAGCAGTGTGCAGTACGGCCTTCGAAAAAAGACGTTTTTGTTTACCGGTTGATTTTAAGAGCTTTCTTTGTAATGTTTTAGTGTGGACACATAAAAATATTTACTCTGGCTTCATGTAAGGCCAACAGTATTCATGGAAAACAGTCTTTTGAGAGATCTAAATTACTTGATGGTGAATTCAGCTTTTTTGGAGGAATGAACCTGACATTTTCAATGACACAACTTCTACCAATAAACAGCTACGGGTTAGGGTAAAAAGGTGATTGATCAAATCAATCAGATCAAACGAGGTGTTTCACCTCTGCCGCGCCAGCTCCCGTTCCTGCCCCCTGGCGGGAAGGGATTGAAATTCATATCCATCAGAGGGCCATCTTGGTGCCTAATCAGATCTGGTGTCATCCCCGAGCCTAATGGGGAAGAAAGCAAACCAATCACAACTCTCCCCTTTATAAACGTCTGCCTACCAACTTAAGGCCTTTCTTAAACCAGCAGCACGGGGCGTCGGCCGCTAAGCGAGACAAGAAATGTGGGAAAAAGGGTGGGATGGAAGGCAAAGATGCAAAAAATGGAAAAAAGAAAAAGCTGGCAACTCCATTTTTTCATCTAGAAGTGGAAGGCGGCCAATCCAAGAATTGGAAGAAGTTGAAGGCTGATAGCTTGTTGAGTAAAGCTGTGAGCAAACTGCTTGTCAAGGAATGGTGTGGGGAAATTGTCAGGAAGCAGAAAATTGCAGCCAGGGAAGGATTATTCGTTCAACTCAAAAGTGAAGTGGGACAAAAAACAACACCCAGATGGGGGGAGGGAGACATGCAAAGGCACAGCTCTGCCAGGAGAGACTTAGAGAGAGAGATCCCTCACTCAACACACACAAGACAAAAGACGAGCCTTGAGTCGATGTGGGCGTGACTAGCTAACAGAGCAACACTGCCACACACAGAGCATCATGTTTATAAATTTTGTGTTACATTTTCAAAGCATTTGTAACACTATGATGAAGTTATGATTATAATTACTACAGTAGCATCACATGAATGACAAAAGCCTGGGGGAAAGAAACAGGACAGCCTTTAAAAATGCTAAATCAGAAATCCACTGACATGTAAACCTCATCAGGTGATAGAGCATTACCACAACAGCAAGTCCCAAAAAACCAACACATCACAGTTTAAAGATGCAGTAGTGAGTCAGTCACTCGTGATGTGTCCGTCTTCCAGCCATTAATTCACTAACACTTTTTAAAGCTGATATTCCAGAACACAGTTCTCACACATGTTCTCTTCCATGAACTCACCTTGTTTTGTAGAACACAGGTCAATCTAACATTCAACAAGCTCCAATGATTTCCCCCAAACGGTCCCAGGCAAATTAATTTTGAAATGTCATAAAATTTGGAGGCAGCCAACGATATACAAAACTTGTCCTGGCATCATTCCAATAACTGCTACCTCCTTCCTGCTTGCTATGACTAATACTGCTTGAAGTACATTTTAAAACTCAACTTAATTGATTAAACACATATTTCAGTTAAATGCAAGATTTGCTAGAGAATAACCCAACTTTGATTTGATTCATGAATCCTCTCCTTTTAAATATTATCTTTCAAATGACTGAACTGAGAGGGACATCATCCCCACCCTTGTAGCATGAGTGCCCGTGTCCAAACTAACCAGGAAAGTGTGGCGGCGGTCCTCCGGGTCCAACAGGGCCAGGGAAGCGGTCTCCTCCTGGGCCGGGTGGTCCGGGAAATCTGCCTCTGCCTCGACCCATGGGGAAACCTCCACGAAGACCTGCACCAGGGGGACCAGCTTTACCTTCCCCAGACATCTGACCTGACTGAGTACCTGTGAAGTAACACTAACCTTTAATATATATCAGATAAGAAATAGGTGCACTAAGTGAATGTGAACTGAATGCCCCTTTGTCTTGAAATCTTTAACTGAGTCAGTACCTGCTGCAGTGTATTCAGCAGACTAACTGGCTTGTCATAGCATGGGCAATTTTTTGCCTGACTAATTTCAAACAGCATTGTGACAAGTCCTTTAGTTAACTCTTGCTGAGTGTATTTTATGCAGATGCGGAGTGTGCACTTGTCCTACTTACTTTTGCGTGACTGCATCTCAAACTGGCTGAGGGACTGTTTGTTGCATGGCGTGACGATGGGACTCTGGCCGTGGAGCTCCCTCTTTGATAAGAGCTCCATTAACTTCCTGGATGAAGCCTCTGAGCCCACACAAACGAGGGCAAATCTGAGAGGAACAGGAAATAAAACCTTTGCTCACACTGGCTTCCCACGTATCATCTCACAATCTACAGACCAATATCCCAACTTCATCAGATTTAAATGATTTGTCCTGAAACTATCAAAAAACTACAAAAGTATCATATTTAATATATTTCCAAAGGTATCCAAGCTAACAGCATTATGACACAATATGCATTTATATAAAAGAGGTAATTATCATTAACTGTGATTAACTGCAATAACGTTACGCACAGATAATTAAGGTCTTACCCTTTTGACTGGCCATTGGCTCTGTTTTCAAAGAACTTTATTTCCAGCACATCTGCGATGCCTATTGACCGGATTGTTTCTGTCAGGTCCTCATCTGTTGTCCACTGCACAAGAGATGATAACATCATTATAACCATGACGACTCCAATTTGATAATTATGCAAAATCTTATAACCTGCTTATAAACTTATAGACATACACTTGGCACAACAGCCTAAACAGAATTCCACCGATGTGAAGTCTACCTACCCATGTGAGGTTGCCTATGTAAAGGGCAATCCTTTTTCCTGTGTAGGTGTAAACCACATTTGGTGGAGCACTCTTGCCTCCCTCTGAGCCACCGGGTGCAGGTAATGCGTCCAGGTAGTCACGGTCTTCTGGAGCATCACCATTATTGGCCGATGGGGATATTACATCATCGTACAGGTCGATCTGCTCGTGCACTGGGTAGTCAGATTCCTGTTGAACACAGAAATATCAGTTGCGTCAATATTAATAAGATGTGATTAGAGGCTTTTCCATACCAGCATCAGAAATGTCTCCGCATCAGTGAGTATACTAATCTATGTAGTGCTCCAATGCCAAGTCTTTAAAGTTTTAATTTCACCAAGATAAAACTGCAATTTTCTCTTTCCAAAAAAGCAATTGCACTGTGCTGCCACTGGAAAGTATGTTTTGTTGGAACAGCATGTGTAGTAAGTGAAGCATTAGCGAGAGCGATGTGTACCACATGCAAGACTCAAGTTTCAGAAATACATTGTTGTGCATCCATATATTTAAGTATTTGGCTTCTTTCACAGTTAAACCTGAGCCAGGCCATACAACAATGACAGCAACATCTTCCATACAAGGTTAACAGCATTCAGCTATTATAATACAAAGTCTTGTGTTTTTAAATGTACTGAGACTGGATTAGCATTTAATTTGATAGTCTTATGCACTGTATACTTATTGTTACGCTTTCTACACATCCACATTTCTTTAAAGCGCCCGGGGTATCAAAACACCACAGTCTTTTTTCAGAGCATAGGACCAGATTCGACAATGCAAAACCCAACAGGCATCTCACATTAACCGGGTGAGAGTATGAAGTGCAGATGGTGAGTGATGACAGCCATGAGTATTCTCAGCACTGCAGCAGCACATGGCAGCATGTAAACAATCACTGGTTGGTCATGTCAGGACAAGCCGGTCATATGTGGACCGAGGGACTCGAGCTCTGCTTAAATCTCAGTTTAAGACTTGCACATAACCCAATGTCAGTGAGTGAGTCAACATAGTCAAATAAATGATTCGTCAAAACATGTTTATTCATAATTAAACATGTTTTCATTTAATGAATGCAGTGACATTTAAATTACACAACACAGCTTCTGTGTAGAGCTCAGGTTAATCAGATCAGCAGGAACCCATGAGCTCGTTTGGAGTGAATGGTTGTTTACAACAAACACGATGCACGAACAAAACACAACGGAGAAGTTAAATGAACAAACAACATCCCTTCCTTCAATAACCAGATGTGATTTGCACGAGTGGAATCGTGCGTGGTCTTTCACCAGATGTTCATTAAAGGAGCGAGAAGAAAACATCATCGTCCGCCGAGCAGACACACGGATGCTACACGAAGCTAACAACCCTTAAGCTAACGACTCAACCCCCCCCCCCCCACGAAACACGCTTCTAGTTCATGCTAACAATTCAACAACACGTCACAAGCTCGTTTCCGCCTAAAAGCGCGTGTTTGCACCAAACCTACAAACAACCTGAACATAATTACTCCAAAAAAACAACAAGTGGCTAACGCTCAGCTAAGCTACCGTCGATGTGTTTGTTTGGAGCCCGCCATAGGAGGCCACGCCGAGGCCCCGAGACTGAACAATGAGATTAGCTGCTTCTCACCCACACTGAGAGAAATACACATATTTGCACGGAACATTTCGACGGTTGAAGGAAACAAACTCCGTGTTGAAAAACCCGCAGCAGCTCAGATGTAGCATTTGGGCGGTAAATGCTAGCCGAGGCTGCAGGTTTGCAGCATGGTTGTCGGGGGGGCCTGTGTACGAGAGAGGCTCGTTTTCACCGACAAACCGCGATGTTCTTTACTCGCAACGACAGCAAACTGTTACACAACCATACAGGGAATAACAAACATGCTAATAATGTGTTGGAAGTGGGTTTAATACCTGGTTAAATTCCTCCTCTACGTCGGCGTAGATGTCGATGTGATCCACACCGTCCGCCATTTTCCTCTGACCCGTCTCTCTCCGCCCGGAGGTGCAGAGACACAATGAGAGCGACAACAGGCGCTCCCTGCTGGTCAACTCCTCTCATTACACACACACACACACACACACACA